AACTGAACTTGACCCACAAAACCAATGACACTTTTGACTGAGGAGGTATGTAGTGTCAGACACGGACCAGCCCAACATGCCCCCAACACATACAGTACATGGCAAAAATTTAAGTGTGTGGCCTAACTAATTGAATTAAGTTTTTTAAAATAAAAAGTAATTTTAAATTCTTTAGAGATTATATTACTCTTTCATTTTCCTCTTCAGCTCTCACATAAAGGCGTTCTTTTTCATTCTCACATGCGAGATCAGGATCACCATATCTATGAATCTAGCAACCAGCGGAGCATAAGGTTCTCCACACGTGACAAGCGACGTCCTTTCCTCTCATTGTTGAAGCCTGAGGTCCTAAACACAAATATAGTGAAGTTGTCCTTTCATACCTTTCCACTTCACATTGAATCCTCAGGTCCTTCGCATGTTGGCATCTTTCTTATGCTAAAAATTCTTCAGAGTACTCTTTTGCTAACCATTAGTCTCACAAACATCTAAATATTACATCATATGTAGAGTAATAATTTTTTCTTTCTTTTTTTTCCTTTGAACTTTCAATCAAGAATTAAGTGTGTAAGTTTATTTCGTATTAGAACTCCAAATAAAAAAGAAAAGAGTTTCTAAATTATTTTTAAAATTCTATTTATTTAATTTCTTTACAATATTTTAATTTTTTAGGTATTAAAATTATAATGTAGTGTCCACCGCTTAAAATTTTTAATAGCAAATGTGTCATGTGTATTGAGACATATTCATGCACCCGTTGCCGCATCTATGCATCCTAGGGGCATGCATTTGAAATTGACTTTTGCAGGTGACAGGCAATAGCCATATACAAACATGTACTTCACATATATCAATGGTGTGTAAGCTAGTTGCATGACAAACCGAATATGCTACATAAAAAAGCACATGGTAAGGCACGTTCGTGTGCGACAACAATAATCAATTGTGAGTTATGTGCGTGAATGCGCGAGCAAGCCAATTGATGCATGCAGCCACGCACATGCAATAACTTATATCTATATATATATATATAATATATATATATATATATATATATGCAAAAATACCACAATCACCATTTTTTGGCTTGCATGCACACATTCCTGTGTGCATCACTTGGCTTGCATGCACATCTATCTAATTTTTTTTTGGAAAATTTGTTTGCATACCACTCAACTTATGTATCTGAACTTCAATCTTTACATATATGCTATCTTATCTATGCAAGAAGAGGTGTATTTCACTCTGAAAGTTTATAGTGGTATTTTTTAGGTGATGTGATTGATTTGTGTGGTATAAATGTAAAAAATTGTAAATACATAAGAATTGGGTGGTATGTATTTATATAAATGTAAAAATATATTTTAGTTTTAAAAAGATGGTGATTGTGGTAATATATATATATATATATAGAGAGAGAGAGAGAGAGAGAGAGAGAGGGAGAGAGAGAGATGTAAAAAGTTGTAAATACATAAGAATTGGGTGGTATGTATGTATATAAATGTAAAAATATATTTTAGTTTTAAAAAGATGGCGATTATGGTATTTTTGCTCATATATATAAGATTGGGTGGTATGTATGTATATAAATGTAAAAATATATTTTAGTTTTAAAAAGATGGCGATTGTGGTATTTTTGCCCATATACTTTTTAAAAAGTATGAAATGTTGTGGGAGGATTCTACTAAGAGGAATAACCTAGGATTTGTTTTTCATTATGCATGTTCTGTTATTTGTTTTATTTTTATTCTTCTTGTGGTGTTCCTAATAGCATCTATGGTTGTGGGAGAGCCGATCTACCTCTCGAAAAATAGATCATCATTGTATCTTGCTTGTTTTCATTTGTGTTTCGTAAGAGAGCCCTTATTTGAATTGTTTACATCTATCTATTGTCGTTTCGTTGTTGTTTCTTATTGATTTTGGCTCTGAAGTGTATCATGGTCATAAGATTTTTAGCATAAATCAAACTTCTAAGGCTTTGATGTCTGAAAGGAGTAAAATCATGCTCGAATGCATGGCACATTAGCTTGAAACAGAGAGAAGAATCCCAAAGTGCCAGGTTCGAGATTCACCCTGCCCGAAAAAAAAAGGTGCAGTAAGATCCCTACCATGGGAAGGTAAAACTGGTTCATCCATTGACAAATATTTTGCTGAGATGATGCAGCGTGGTTCAAACAAAGACAAGAAGAGCCAAGCCACTGGGTCGTATCTTAAGATCGACGATGAGGTCAATTGATGGTGCCTTGGGTAGGCTTGCGTAGGGATAAAAAGTTCATTGTTTCATATTTATGTCTGCCTTTAATTCATTCCTCATAATATTGTTTGTGGGAACTCATGTTAAGAGACCCTTGTCCCTAAATGTTCTTAGAGAGCAAGAAAATTGGAAGTTTTTGTGTAATTTGTTGGAGTCTTTCTTTTGTCCCTATTTTGTGTTTTCTAAAATCTTATGAGATGACCGAGATCTCATGCGGGAACTAGATTTGCCTTGCAGTTGGTTTGCAACAAAATTGCAAGAAAATTTTCATAAAACTTAACACCCAAGTAATCAAGTATGATGACAATAAAGAAAGGGGCATTACATACATACCACACAATTCTTATTAATTAGATATTTACATGCATGTCACTCGAATCTTCAATATCACATTAAAAATACCACAATCGCTATTTTTCAAAACTAAAAACATCTTTTCATGCATAGTTTTACGACACCAAGATATTATGACTGTAATTAGATTATGACAAACATAGAAAGGGCATTTACATACATATCACACAATTCTTATGTAATTAGATATGTAGCACCTAAACTTTCATATTGACAAGCATGCCGCTGAAATCTTTAACATCACATCAAAAATATCACAATCACTGTCTTTTTAAAACTAAAATATATTTTTTTCATGCATAATTTTATGACACCAAGATGTTACACGAGAATATATCATCCTCTCTGGGTGTTGGATATCTAAACACACAAGAAATGTGGGTATGCATGTAAATCTCGTTCAGAGAAATCCTTCTTGTTAATGCATTAAAAATCTGAACAATGCATCACAATATCCTGGTAAATGTTTCAGCAGGTTAATACATGGGATCAGCATTGCTAACAACCGAAAGAACTCAACAATGCAAGAGGAGAATATATATATATATATGTGTGTGTGTGTGTGAAAAGTCTCACTATAACGAAAAAATGGCTAATGCTGACAAGAAGATTCTTTTAAAAGAAAATTAATTAATTTTAGAAAGATTTGCATGTATGCCACTCAATTCTTATGTATTTAAATATCGACATATATATACCACCTTGCCTCTACATGAAAATGCGCATTTGACTTTTTAAAAGTTAAAAAAGTGGTATTTTTTATGTGATATAAATAATTTGGGTGGTATTTTAGATATGTAAGAAGATATGAATTGGGTTGTATGCATGTAACTGCCCCTTAATTTTATAATTCATTAAAACAAAATGAAAATTCCGACAACACTACACAGGTAACATGCATACAACAACAAGTAAATAGGCATTTACATATGAACCACCCAATTCCTATGTATTTACATATCTAATACCTATACTTTACATTTTACATTTATACCACCCAAATCTTTCATATCACATCAAAAATACCACTATTTCAACTTTTAAAAATTAAACCACACCTTTTCAGCATAGGTTGAAGTTTTTAAGTGCTAGATATGTAAATAAATAGGAATTAAGTGGTACATGTGTACATCTTCCATAATAAAATTACAATAAAAGGTACATCCCAGTATCTTAATGTGTCATGGAAGTACACTATACCTCCAGCTTAAATATCAGTAGAACGATCAAATAAAGGTAGCACAGATTATGATTCTAACATACAAAAAAAAAAAAAAAGAATTACATATCTAACACCCAAACTATCATTTTTTACGTATATACCACCTTACCTAAGCATGTATATTTTTCACTTTCTAAAAGTTTAATAGAGGTATTTTTGATGCAGTATAAAATATTTGTTTGATATAAATGTAAAAAACAAAGTTTAGGGGTTAGATATGTAAATACATAAGAATTGGGCGAGGGTGATTTGTATGCAAATGCCTAAAATAAAAAATATATATATAAATGACAACAGAGTCATCAGAGAGATTCCACATACCTCACAGACAAGAGTTAAAATAAGATAGTTGATTGTAACGTGTCGATACAGGGCCAGCGTAAAGCAAATCAGTAGAACGAGATGGTGCGCAAGAATCGACGGAAACCGACCAGTGTACAGCCGATATACAAGCATGTCCATTTGATCATAGGCAAAGTATCCACATGAAAAACACAATGTAGCATAAGCACCTCGCCATGTCCCACCAAATAATTGGTTATGTTCTAACATTTTGTTGAGACCATTAACCATCAACTGCCTCGCCAAAATTACGAGAACTGCAGTAAACACATTCATTTATGTAAGATATAAATGCACCGAAGTCATTCAGATCAAGCTATTGTAAGCACGCACTAAGGGCCGCAAATGAACCAAGCATTCAACAAGCTATTCATGGCTCGGCTCGATTAAAGCTCGTTCATGCTCGTTTGATTAATTAATAGAACGAGCTTGACCACTTTCATAGTTACTCAATTACTAAATAAACAAGCTTAAACAACTTTTTGTTTGGTTCATTTATGTTCATGAATAGTATCATTTTAAGTTCATAAATAAACTCGAGTAAGGCTCAATTACAACTTGTTCATGAACAATATCTTTTAATGTTTAATTTTAGGCTCAACCAACATTGTTTCATATGGCTCATTCATTTTTTCTAACAAGCTCAATAATGTCTAACCACCACTCATAAAACAGGAAACAAACCCCCCTTCCATTTACACCAGTGAATTTTCTTGATAATAAAATCATTGACCCACAAGGATCTATTAAATAAATTTCAAATTTATTGATATTTGATATATCAAATAATATATTATTTTAAGTACATATTTTATGCTTATTTTTTATGATATTGCACTATTGCACTTTAAAGAAAGATTTTTTATGATATTGCACTTTAAAGAAAGATATTTTTGTTTTTTTGTTGCAGGTATATCATTTTTAGGCATTTGGAGCAAAAATGGTAAAATATGACGAAATTTGGAACAAAAATAGCGAATTTTGGGATTCTGGCGCATCATGCGCCAAAACTCAAAGAACTAGCGTGCATGATGCGCCAGGGACTACTTTTTCAAATTAAGGCAGTTCGAGACGAATTTTTGCGCGAATTTCAAAAAAAAAACACTTGTTCTACATACCTATTGGAGTACTTCAATGCATCTAGATACTTTGGAAGATTTTTTTATGAAGGTATATGACTTTTAGATCAAATGACACATCTTTTGAATTCAAAATAATTGACATTTGAAGAGAATTTTGGAAAGAATTTTGAATTCTTGTTCAAATGAGTCAGCCCAAAATAAAAGAAAAAGACTTCATAGAGTTGAACGAAGCTTTTGTGTGTGGTAAGGAGGACGAAAAAGAGAGGCCTTTGGTGTGGCGTGAGAGAGAGAGAGAAGAGATTTTCTACTAGGTTTGTAAGAGGAGGATGATGAGAGACTTCTTCTTCATTACACTTCTAAGAGAGAATTGAGAGTGATTGTAAAAAAAGAGACTTGAAGAGAACTTCTAGGGATTTGCTTGAGAATGATTGTGAGATAAGTTGTATTTTTATCTCTTTTATTTTATAAACTTATTTTTATATACTAAATCCGTGTTTTATCGTATCCTTCTTATGAATTATGAATAGTCTTCTTTATTCTTCTCCCTACTTTGAGATATGATTTTGTGAAGAATAGATTTTATTTTTCACGATTTTAAGTGATAACAATTTATGATCATTTGAACTCTGATTTTCATTTATTTTTCGATCTGCTCAATTAAAATGTTAAAACTTGTTGAGAAACATGTGTTCTTAAATGAGATATGATTTCTACAACATAAAGAGATTCACATTTGATTTCATGAGAGAGTATGACATCCATGTGATTTGGTGCAAATAAATAGGGAAATATATTTTGTTTGATGCAGAATTTAAGATTTTAAAGTGACAGATTAAAATCCTCAATTTGGTTCAGTTAATTGGAAACTAATGCGAGATTGTTAGCCCTCAGGGGAGGGAGTGAGCTCGAGGGTGGCAGGTGGTAACCTCCCAACCTAACCACGGAATTTGGGACCAAACTCTGGATTAGTTAATGTTTTTTATAGCACTCGGAAAAAAAGTAAAGAATAGGATTGCTCCTAGCTTGATATGAAGAATTTTTTGATAACCTTGTTTGTCCCTTTCTTTTTGATATTGAGGTTATATATATATATATATACATCTATATATATATATGTATATATGTATGTATATACATGATACATATATATACATATATACATCTATATACATATATACATATATATATATGTATATACATATATATACATATATATATATATTATCAAATAATTTCAATTTCTTCAGAATCCATATACTCATTGTAAAGGGGAATGATACTTTCTTAAATTTGAACTTTCCGTCACAACAAAAACTTTGTTTAATTTTCGTAATTTTACTTTTGAAAATTTAGTATTTAATTTAGTTTAACTTTGTCATACATCTGCATTTTAATTAACATTCACTTAAGTATTCAATTTTCAAACTTTGCACTTTACTTTTATTTTTTTTTGTTTTGATATAAAATAATTTTCATAATTTACTTTAAGATTTTTCAACTTCCCTGTGGGATTGATATCTAGGACTCCATTAGAGCCCTTTATTACTTGAGCGATGCGTATACTTGCGTTGATATTAAAGGGGATTTGACAATTTAAAAAGAGTTTTAAAAGATAAATTATTTTCATAAAAAGTATTTTTGTTGAGATTATATTGCATATTTATTATATGTATGTCGTGTGTAATTTTGTAATATTGAAAAATATTTGCAAAATTTTCACATTAAATATGCCCGCATCAAAGTTTTTGGCGTCGTTGTCGAGATTAAAATCTTCAAGTAGTGGTGTCAACTTCATAAATCCTTACATATAAAAAATATCGGGATCAAGTTTTTGGCGCCGTTGCTGAGGATTAAAATCTTCAAGTAGTGGTGTCAACTTCATAAATTCATACATATAAAAAATATCTGAACCATAAAATTGCAAAAAAAAAAAACAACATCATGGTTTAAAACAAGCAGCATAATTAAGAGATGGATCTTCTTCAAGCTTAGTTTTATAAATAATTAGAATTTCACAATATTGTGTTTAAAACTTAGCATAGGTAATTTATATTGACTAAGCGAAATAATTATAGAGCTCTATAAGCCTCTTGTGCTCAACTTGTAAAGACAATGATATATACAAATATATTCAAGCAAATTAAGACCAGCCTTATCCTTTTCTTTTCTCTTTCTTTTCTTTTTTTTTTCCTTATTCATTTATTTTACAATTATTTGGCAGGGTAACATACTTGGCAGATGAGACAGCAACATTTGTTTATATGATAAAAAACAAAATACATCTATGTAATTTTTTATTTATTATATGCATCAAATAAACTATTTTGGTAAAATTATAATATCCAACAATTATATGTTTTAACTTTTCAAACATGTAGTTATACAAACACACATGAATAATAAAAACATATTCTAAATAAACTAAGAATAATGTAATAAAAACAAGGTTAGTTATGATTTTTTTTAGCACAAGACTAGAATGCAATTTTAAAGTAATGCATAGGACAAGAGAAATTTTTATGTAGCAACCGCTACGTCTCGAACTCGAGATCTTTAGCCTAGTAATTAAAAAACATATGGTTTGAAAAAAGTGCCTTTGATAAGCATTAAGGTAATACATATAATGATAGAAGGTAGTTTCTACTCTATTAAATTATTAGGATACCCAAACTAATTTTAATTGAACAACCCTTATTAGCTTATGTATTTTAATTTGAACGATTGTTCCTTCCAAGTATTTTATCTCAACTTGTAATGATCAATATTGATTTGATTCAACTAATATGAATTTAATAGTTACATACTTTATCATTACATGTCATATATTCACAGTATCCACGCACTACTAACATAAATTTATAACTGTTTCCTTTCAAATTCTAATTCAAGAAAATTATACTATAGAGAACTATATTATTAGGTAAAAATTACTTCATTTACAAACAAATTAAAGACACGCTAACTGTAAGTATTTGTTATCAACGAACTCTTAAAAAACATTAAATTGAAAAACCTTATAAATATCATGACACCTAAAAGTAAACGTCATGGGCTTTATTCTATATTTAAAAATATTACAAGTAACGATATTGATTTTGACATACCCATAACTATGTAAAAATAAGCGGCAAATCTATGCCGCATCATGTGTTCAACAAATGACATCTTTCACGCTACAAGCAATATCTATAAATTAAAAATTGGTATCATAATTTTTTTAGTGAGAAATTATGAAATTTATTTTAAGAAACAGACATCTATTAATAATAACTATTTATGTAAATTTGAATAGACTAAGAGCAATAAATTTCTCATTGGCAATATTAATTTTTTACTTTCTTTAATACAAAAGGGTATGAATAATTATTTGAAATATTATTTTTTTAACTATCAAAATTCTCACATAAAACAAACTAATATTCATGTTGGCGCTAAATCCGTGTTAAATTTATTTATTCATTCACTCCCTATCTTTTGAAGATAGCAAAAAAAAGAGCAAATAGGTTTTTTTGTGTTAGATGTACTTGTGCACCAATGTTCATGAAATGTTACTTTCTTTATATGATGCAATTATTAGATAGGCACGTGAAGTTATTTAAAATCAACAAAATCAAGAGATTATTGAAAATATGTTCTATACTATATTGATTTTGATGACATAAACTTATATATATGGACTAAATATGAGTCTTAATGTCCATAGTTTGGATTTCTCAGGGAGACGCCTAGGAGATTAATCACGCCATAGAAGACAAAAAAATATGGTGATGAAGTTCAAGGTTAATGGCCAAGTATATGCTGAAATTTTTTATTTGTTTCTTAAGCTATAAATATGTCACTTATGAATCTTTACATTGCATATTCACTTAATATCCCATTTTATGTGGGATAAAGTAACAAAACTATTAAACAAGTGGCAAAAGTTGTACTTAAAGAATCAAAAAACAGTTTTTTTATAAATATAAATAAAATTAGTTGGTGGTGGAATAATAATGTGCAAGAAAAGATAAAATATAAGAAGTTATGTTATAAAAATTAATTTAAATATAAAAGCTTAGAAAACTGGGAAAACATCAAATTGTCTGTATAGAGTCTAAGAGAACAATATATGACGCTAAAAATTCTGCTTTTGGTGATTTTTATAATAAATTAGATACTAAGAAGGGTGAAAATATATGTACAAACTAGCCAAATAAAGAGAAAAAAAAAAGTAAAGATTTAACTCAAGTAAAGTGTATTAAAGATGAAAATCAAAAAGTATTTTTGTTAAAAAAATATATATTCATGATAGGTGGGTAAGTAATTTTGGTAAATTTTTTAATGAAGTTTCGGAAAATATGATTCACCTTAGTGATCTTAATATCGCTAATAATAATATTTTTACCATCACAATAGTAAAAATAAAGTTGAGGAAGCTTTAAGGAAAACCACTATGAGACTTGATGATATCCCAATTGAAATGTGGAAATACTTAGGGGATTTGAGAGTTTCTTGGCTTACTAAACTCTTTAATATTATTTTAAAAAGTAAAAAGATGCCTAAGAAGTGGATAAAGAGAATTTTGGTCCCCATTTCATTTTTAAGAATAAAGATTAAGAATAAAGAGGATGCACAAAAGTGTGTCAATTATAGAGGAATTAAGTTGATGTGTCATGCTTTAAAATTATGAGAGAGGGTAATTGAGCATAGGTTAAGACGTATTACAAATATGTCTCATAATCAATTTGGATTTATGTCAGGCAATTCTATCATGAAAGTCATACATTTATTGAGAGGATTGATGGAGAAGGTAAGAGATAATAAGGAGAATCTACATATGGAACGGATTCATCTCCTCGTCCCTGTCTTCTCTTTGACTCTCTCAATCACGGATGAAGGTAACCTCTCCACGGTTTCCGTCATCCAACTCTGTTAGTTTCCATTGTAGACGATTTCTCGCTGAATCTCTTCCCGAGGAGAGTCTGGTGTACATCTTCGTTGTGGTATGGCCAGGGTTGGGAATCGGAAGAAAATTTTGGGTGGACAAGAATCGGGTAGAAGTGGATGTTGGGAAACCCTAGGAAAGGACTAAGGAATGAGCTAGCTTTGATACCAATTTATATCGGCACTAATAAGGGAAATAACGGAAATAGAAAAAGTAAACTTTCATTAATATTAAAATAAGGTTATAACATGACTCAAACAAAAATAACACAAGCACAAAACGACATAAGCAAACACTCCTAAATGTATTCAAATGGGTGGTGGAGATCAGCGAGGTGGATCGAGAAGGTTGTTGGGGGTGGTGACAATAACAGTGTTGGTGGTAGCGATGAGAAGATGTGGAACTGTAGGAGCTGTAACTGTTAGGCGGTCGACAGCAGTAGTGTGGCAGTTTGTGGGAAGGGTTATAGGTGGTCCACAAAGGAGAAGGAGACTCCACACAGGAGATCTAAAACTAAACATATTTAGAACTTGTTCCCCACACACACCAGGGACAGCTATTTATATAGCCTCCTAGTTCTACACAATAGAAAGAAGAGTGAGGAGGTAAGAAGAAAACAAGTGTGGAAGGAGCATGAATTAGCCCTGGATCGTGAGATTCACGATCAGCCCTGTTCCTATGCGCGGGATTGCAATACGAATCATGATTTTTCACCCACTGTTATGCGATCCTGTCGCGAACCATCCCACTTCTCGCGAATTCACGGGATTCCCGTGTCGCGCGAAGCTTCACGCGTGCAGCAGCGCTTCAGTCCCGTCGTTTCAAGGCGCCCTGCTCGGGGCACTATTCTGCGCCCAATTTCGAAAGCTATTCTACGCCCGCGTCACTATAAAAGGGTGGTTTTACAACTTCATCAATTTGCATTTAGTGGGCATTTTCATTGACTTTTTTGTCTTAGTAAATTTCCTTAGAAACTAGTTTTATATTATAGCTCCCCATAGAAAATCTATATTTACTCTCTGTATTTCTCGCAAGTGGTATTCTAGACTTCAATTTTTTTTTAGGAAAATTTACATACATACCACACAGCTCTTATGTATTTACATATATAACACCTAAACACTACTATTTACATTTATCTCACCCAAATCTATCATATCACATAAAAATACCACTATTTTAATTTTTAAAATATGAAATACACCTTTTCAGGCATGGGCAAGGTGGCATACATGTAAAGATTGTTATTTAGGTGTTAAATATGTAAATACATGCCATTTAAGTGCTATGTATGTGAATCTTGCTTATTTTTATCTTCTTGGATGATTCAATCTTAAGATCATGAAAACCAGGAACAAGTTCGCGTGGATTGACCTTTAATGCATGAAAAATATCACTTGTCAGGTTGGCCTCAAGCCTAAGAAGAGGGTTAGTTTCACTTTGAGCCAAAATAAAAGTGTAATCTTTGGCCACTTACGTAAGTAGAAGAATTTAGTGAAATTCTTAGACAATGGATATAGGAATCAGAAAAAGTGAAACCATATAAGTCTCAGTGGTTCTATATGATTGAATTTTAGAAATTTTTTTTTTCACTATAACTCAATGATTTTACTCTTGGGTGTGTCAATACTAGCTTAGTATTCAATTTTATTTCAAAGTTCTTATCAATGAAATTTTAATAACCAATTAGCCGCACCCCATCCCTCCTAGATGCTCAACGTGACTAACAGTTACAATTGATGGGAGTTGGTCAAATAAGCTGGACACATTTTGTCCTATAGTTTACAAAGTTATAAATCAACAAGAGAAGCATAACGCAATAATACATGTTTTGTATGGTGACTAGATAAGACATCACATCTCAAGTTAGGGAGCTTGCTAAGGTTGGGGCTTCCAAAAAAGCTTGTTGTTCTCAAACAGTTTGTTCGCAAACAACTCGTTGTTCTCGAACAGCCTATGTTCAACTTGTTAAGTAGCTCGTGTTAAATTCCTTTGTTAAGCAAGCTTGTCGAGCACATACAACTTTTTTGAGCTCGACTTATAACGAGACAATTACGAAGAAACTTTTGTTCGAATGTGTACGATCCATTTTTGCTCAAATTAATTAAATAGCTAAATAAATAATAGTATTAAAATATTTTAATATTGATTTTATCTTCTATATAAAAATTTAAATTTTATTATTCTTTAAACCATTCGATCTAATTTTGAGCCAAAATAAGTTGAAACGAATAAATGAATTTGAATCAAGTTGAACATGAATATGCTATTCACGAGTCATTTCGAACACTAGCCTATTTTGAACCAAAAAAAAATAAAAATCAAACGAGTTGACCATGAACACGCGTTGGACTCGCTTAAGCTCGGCTCGTTTACACCCCTAGTTAGAGCATCAATTGTTTACCTCACTCTACTAATAGATTGAATCGATGTAACTCTACAAAAAGCATATTAGATTGTGTCAGGCAAGTAGAGTGGGGATAAGTTATAGTTTTGATGTTGACTCAATCATGCCAAGTCATCTCTAATGGTTGTTCTAGACAATCAAGCTAAGCAAAGATACAAAATAAATCACTCAAAATCTTAGCAAGGTGAATTATCGCCCATGCTATCGATTAGATCCCAATTAACTTGCTTTAATCTAATGTTTGCATGTTAGGAGATAACGCAATATTGTTATGTCGTCGAATCAATATCCTGAGGATACGACAAACTAAATATCCTTTATAAGCATCTCTATTGCCAAAAGACAAACATAAAAAACTATATTATGACATTTATATAAGATTATTATGACTAGAAACTGTCAATGCGATATTCTTAATATCATGAATAATTTAAGCATCACTTTGACAACCTATAAAAAAAAACAAATTGATGATAGTTACAAATTCCTCGCATATCAAAGTTCCACGATAAAAAACAAAGTTGTCAAAACATAGGCATCAATTTGGTGAAACCTCATTAACGAATTAAAAAGACAAATACCATTACATACAAACCACCCAATTCCTATGTATTTACATATCTAACACGCAAACTTTAATTTTTACATTTATACCGCCCAAACCTTTCATATCACATCAAAACTACCCCCATTTTAACTTTTAAAAAGCAAAATACATCTTTTCGTGAATAAGCAAAGTTGAAGTTTAGGTATTAGATATATAGATACATAAAAATTGAGTCGTATGCATGTAAATCGTCCAAAAAAACAAAGCTCTAAACGTCACTGAAAATGATTTTCTCTATCAAACCTTGCCGTAGTCCAAGTCAATACCAGGTAAACAACTTTCCCTGTAGCCTTACACTTACACAGAATACCCTGCCCCCTTCCTCCATTACAGCTGTACTAAAAGATCATTTTCCTACTTGTTCTCAGAAGTTAGGTCAACAAAGCCTATACACGCATCCAGCATCAAAGCAACAATAACAACAGAATCAACTCAACAAATCCACATAGATAGCATCAACAATCCCACGAGCTCATCATCAAAGAAAAACAACAATAATTTAGCTAAAGGATTAAAGATTACCGCTCAAGGAGACAATTGAGGAGTGAAGTAAGGAGACGGCGGTGTTGACAAATAGTGGGTCTTTGGAGACGCCGTAGCGGAAGGCCCAATTAGCCGTCTGGAAGAAAAAGACGCCGGCGACCGCCGTAGATAGCTCGAACCGCCTCTTGACGGCGATCTCGAACCCTAGCGACGCCGACCACAGAACCAGCGTTGCCCAGTAGAACACCGCCGTGCCTCCTAATTCTGTCGCCATTACTTTCTATTTTTTCTCCCCTTTTAAATTATTTAATCCTTTTCAACTGTTCATCTTAATATTTTAATTTCAATAATCTGCAATTTAAGATCTGTTAGTTATTAAAATAGCTTAATAATAATTTGATGCTCAAAAAATTACCATGATTATATAAATTTTTATTTTTTAAGTTAAATTATAGCCAGAAGCTCTCATCTCACCTATCAGGAGTGATAAGAAAAACGCAGATTTTAGCAGTAATTTTTTGAAAAATTTGTTAAAATATAGTTTATCCAAATAGACAAAACTGCGTTGCGACCCCTCAAACCCTAAACCCTGCAAAGTATGTGTCTAAATTTGATTCAGTCATGCACGGTCGAGAGACACACAAACAAAGCATCAAATTTGAGCTTAACATGATTTGAGGAAAAAAATTAAAATTCGGCAAAAAGATAATTATAAATAAATGTATAGCCTTAATTATACATCATAATTGAAACCTCCTCCTCTCTAATAATATCAAAACTCCTCATCAAAATCTAGCATCAAATGTGCATCTAATATTCTTTGAAGTCGGGCATCAGTAGTTCTCTTTTTGTTTTTCAAAATTTATCCTTGTATCATGTTTTGTGATGTATCTAATAAATAATAATAATAATAATAATATATTTTAAATTAATAATTAATTAAATGTTGAAATCTGTCAATTACGTGTCGTGTCTTATTTTTTTGGGTTGAGTCTGTATCCAAGTGTTCGTGTTCGTGATTCATATACTGATGCTAAGACACCATATTTTAGATATTTTTTATAAGAGTCACGATGATAAACACTTAAATTATAATTTATGTATGTACCACTTAAATTATAATTTATGTGTACCATACTTAAGCGTCATAATTATATTTAAATATATGCATGAACATCTACATTTTATATATAAAAAAATTTGATAAGAGATATTTTTTATGTTATGTTACGGTTCATGTATTACATGAGTAAATATTATGCAAATATAATATTTGTATATGAAAAAAATATCGGCACAAAATTCAAGGGAATCTAACAAACGAACAAGAAAAAATTATCACGGGAGGGTCCACCAATAGGAGATCTAGGGGCCCACACATTCTATCAGAAGAATCAAGACCAATATTAATCAAGGCAGCCAAGCGACCCAAATTTGAGCGGTTTGAGGCCAAGTATAGGGGATCCGGGACATCCCCGCAATGGAACCAGCCAAAGCAAAAAATTTAAACTCTCGGGTCCTACAATTCCCTCGAAAGTATGCAGCAGTTTGTTCGAACATCATCAAGATCCAAGCACGAGCCATTTGATTGGAAATGAGATCATAAAGTGCCCGAGCCACCCACAACGAAAAATTCGACCTAAGGAAAGAACCCTAAAGAAAGTGTATGATGTAATAACATGTATCGGAGTGGAGTTGACCTAAGGAAAGAACCAATTCCATAAAGTATCCACGACCATTTCGTGTAAACCCTAAAAACTCCTCATTAGGAATCAAAGGTAGTCGAGCATGTCAGATTAGTCGACCTAACCCTACAAAATAAACTTAGCTGACCTGCCTCCATCGATACGAAGGCAACTGAGCTTCGCCGATCAAAGCATCATGCAACCATATGATAAGCTCATACTTGCGAAATACTAAAAATACTCTAGTACAGACCTCTTTCAAATATGGGCAAAAATGTAATATCGTTATTGCACTACTCCTATATAAATAGGGGTAATATTTTATGAGAATGACGCACTATTCAACACTTTTCAATTCTCACTCTCTCTCTCCCTCCTTATTTTAAGCTTTATTCGTTGCTGGGAGTGATTCAAGTAGAATCTCAAATTCAACAATACATGTAAATACGAAGTTTTAGATATGTAAATATATAACAATTTTGTGCTAAGTAAATACCAAAGTTTTGAAAATCAGACTGAACATCATACCGAAAGAGGAGGAGGTTCAAGATTCAACAGTTGAACCGTATATTGAACCGGATGATGTCATAAATAAAAAAAAATATAACTTAAATTGGTATATGTAGTATACAAAATATATCATGAAATATAGATTATATGTGAACTCAAATAAACAATTTAAATAACTCTCAAAAAGAAGATTAACAATCAATTATTATAATAAAAAAAATCTCTATAAAAACACTAAAAAATCATTCTGGTTTAATGCGGGATGGTTTTCAGGCCACCCGAAACTGGACCTCTGACCGGTTGGGGATTGAACCAGTCGAACCTCCCGATTCATGGCCAAGGCGATCCAACAAGCCATCCAGAAACCCGCATTACCAATTTGGCTCAAGTAGTATGTGCCCTATTGATTGGGTGATGAGATATTTAGGGCCCGTTTGAGTCTAAGTTTTTTATATTTTTATTTTTCAAATGAGTGACATGCTTTTATTGAACTAAAATTCTATTGTTAATCATTAAAATAAATTTATGATAACTAGTAACATTTTTAAATTTATGCCACATAAATCTTTTCTATCACATAAAAAAAACACCATCATTTTAATTTTTAAAAAGTGAAGTACATATTTTCATGAGAAGGCAAATGTAAAAAATGAAAGTTAGGTGCTAAATATGTAAATACATAAAAATTGAGTGGTATCTATGTATATTTTTCTATTTAGAAGCAACTCCATCAAGCCCCTAAACAAACCAATCACATTAAGCCCCCATGAGCAAAATGTGTATTTCAGTGAGCCCTACTTAAGAAATTATAAGTTTCTTAAAATTAAATATTGCTCGCTTAATGTAATTGGAGCCCGTCCACAGCCCTGGCTTTCCTCCCATGTATCAGGCTCAGAAAATTTCCTTTCATTTCTCTTCATTATTGCATGAAACAAGGCAAAGTAAAACTTCATTCTGATTAATCATGCATTACAGCATTAAACAGTATTAAAATATGATTACGCAGAATGAAAGTTTATGCAAAACTATAGAAAACTACTGCAGGATTTACATACATACCACACAATCCTTATATAATTACACATCTAACACATAAGCATTAATATTTTGCTTATATAACACTTATTTTTTTTCATTACCACATCAGTAGTTAGATGTGATTACAATAGTTATTCAAAGGGTAGAATATGTAAATACATAATCATTATGTGGTATGTACGTAAATTCCCCCAAACTATATTACAAAAACAATAATAAAGAGTGGAGTAGCAGCTACAGAAATCCGAACGGAAAACAAATCATTCAAAAAGATCTAAATTAATTGGACATCAAAGGTGTAATCAAGGAATTCTTCAGAATTTACCCTATCGGCGCCGAGGCCAGAGGAAGAAGCAGCAGGGGCTTCATTGGAGGAAGCAGTGGAGGCTTTGGTAATCATGTCTTCATACTCGTCGTCTTCATCCTCCTCGTCTTCTTCCTCTGGTTCGTCCTCTTCATCTTCGTCCTCTTCTTTATGAGTTTCAGGCCACCCATAGCCGGGAATGTACCTTGAAGCTCCGCGGAACCTGGCCTCGCGGAGAATCTTCATTATGTCTTCCACGGACTGGGGAGAGAAGGTTGGAGCGCCATTGTTTTTGTTGTGATATGCAGCTTGGGCTGTGTCTGTAAGCTCTCTTGGCAGGTTCTTCAGGAACCATGGATGCTTCTTTATATCGTTCATGGATATTCTCTGCAGCAATTTGGGGGAGAAGAGAAGATGTAAGTGAATCTCAGATTTCTCAAGCTGCTAAATTTGGTCATCAATTCATCAAATTTCGAATCAAGTTAGTTTCTTCGATGAAGATTGATGGAGAAGGAAAATTTTCATTAGTATGCCTTGAATTTTTTTTAGGGTTGACATCATTAGTTTATGCTACAATCTGACACAGATTTCCACACAGAAATTAGGGCAAACTTTTTTTTTTTTTTTTTGGTTCAATAATTCAAAACAATTCAACACAAATACATAAGACAAGCATAATCTCTTGTAAATCCTATAATTCGAGAGGTTGGAAATTTTTCCCAAACCCTAAACTTAAGCCGGTGTTTGTCTACAACCTGAATTTACGTTAACTAGGATTTCAAAAAATCCAATAAGTCTGGTAGTCCGTGCGACGGAGATGAGCTCGCAAGCGGTGATAGGAATAAATTCTTAATCGTATTCACTAAATAAAAAAAAAATTGATTTAGCAAAGCATTGGATTTAATTTTTTTTTTTTTATGTTTGGTTGGATTTATGTTAAATCCTATTTAAATTATGCTAAGAAACACTGCCTAAGACTCAAAAAATAATAATCTCATGCATAACCTTAAACCTAAACTATTATACCAAACATTACTTAATAATAAAAAGATAAAATTACTCTTAGGCTGATAAAAAACAAAGTTACCTTTAATCTAGGCACTAGTGTAACAAATAATGACCTTGAAAAGTCTAGAATGCTCTAATGAAAAACTTTCTTCACCGATTCTGGTCTAAAGAAAATTTTAAAGTTCAAGATAGGACCAATTTGATTCAAATTTATGCCCAAAAAAGGGGGCATTTACATACATACCTCACAATTCTTATATATTTACATATCTAACAGCTAAACTTAAATATATATATTCTTAACACTCAAATTTTTAACCTCACATCAAAAATATCATTTTATTAACATTTTAAAAGTCATGCATAGGTTTATAGCACTATGCTGTTATAAATTTAAATATTAATATTTTAGATGTTAGATAAGTTAATCCATAAGAATTGTGTGGTATATATGTAAATTTCCCGAAAAAATAAGACTAAAACGGACACACCAAAGAATTCCAGGAACCACTTCTGTCATTTAGCCCTATGGACTTTAAAAACTAAAAAAGTCCTCATCAAAAACTTCGCTTCACCGGGCTTTGTCCAAAGAAAATGTGAAGTCGATGGTAGGACCAATTTGATGCAAATCTAGTGAACATCTAAAAAAAAATCAAAACTAAAAAAGGAAATTTACATGCATACCACACAATTCTTATGTGTTTACATATGTAACACCCAAAGTTTGATATTTATACTTTGGTGATATAAATTTATGCACGAAAGATGTATTTCACTTTTTAAAAAATACTGATTGTGATATCTTTGATGTGATATTGAAAATTTGAGCAACATTCATGTAAATACGAATGTTCAAGTGTTAGATCTGTAAATACAAAAAATTATACAGTATATATGTAAATGCCCCATTCAAATTCTAAAAGGAAATTTACATCCATACCACACAATTATTATGCATTTACATGTCTAACTCCCAAAGTTTGAGATTTACAGTTATAACACTTTGGTGTCATAAACTTATGCATAAGAAGGTGTTTTTCACTTTTAAGAAAATAGTAATAGTGATATTTTTTATGTGATGTTAAAGATTTGAGTGGCATGCATGTAAATATGAATACTTAGGTGATAGATTTGTAAATGCATAAAAATTGTGTGGTATTATGTAAACACCCCATGCAAAAGTGAAATATGCATACATACCACACAATTCCACACAATTCTTATCTCTTATCTATTTACATATCTAACACCCAAAGATTGATATTTACATTTATAACACCTCGGTGTCATAAACTCATGCATGAAAAGATCTATTTCACTCTTAAAAATATAGTGATGGTGTTATTCTTAACGTGATGTTAAAACAATTGAGCGAAATGCATGTAAATATAAATTTTGCGTGTTCTATATGTAAATACATAAAAATTGTGCAGCATGCACGTAAATGATCCCTAAAAGAATAGTTTTCAATTTGAGTTGAGAGATCTAAACAACATACTCTGTGCGGGCTGGCGACAAAGATGCGGGCGAGTAACTGTCTGCAGCTCTGTGTTACATAGACGTAGTCAGGTATCACGTACTGAACTGACATTATTCTCTGTAATCAAAGCAGCTTCATCATTTAAAACCTTAACTCATGACAGATTTTAATACAAAAGAACTGAATTTCATAAGCTTATCAGCTGTAGAAGAAGAATCTGTAACCTGAATAGTCTTTCTGAAATTCTTAGGGTCTTCCGGGTCTTCAAAGGGATAGGCTCCCACCAGCATCACGTATAGAGTGACCCCACAAGACCACACATCCACCATCTGCGATTCATTCGTAGTTCAGATGGAATTATTTCATCAAGATTGGAAGAAACATTTACATACATACCACTCAATTCCTATTTATTTACATATCCAGCAACTAAACTTCAACTTTTACATATATATGCACCTTGAAAAAACATGTACTTTACTTTTTAAAAGTTATAATAGTGGGTATATTTGGTGTGATATGAAAGACTTAGGCGGTATAAATGTAAAAAGTAAAAATTTAGTGGAATTTGTTGTTATGTATGTAAAGGCCCCAATAAAAGAACAAAACAAAACTCCTAACAATTAAGTTGTGTCACTGTTGAAAGAAAATCCACTAAGAATGTGCAAATTACTTTCATTTCATTATTTATGATATCAGGAACAAACATACTGAAAAAGATGAGTTCTTTGATGTAAGAAGCCCTAGAGAGCCTCGCCAAGATGATGAACATGTTATTGATGGAAATTTGAATACACAAGTTTGTCTCACTGCAAATGGTCACATAGGCATCGGTACAATATCGCCTCACAGGAGACTTGGTATGTAGAGGTGATGGAGAGAGGTAACACTATAGAAATAACACAATCATTAGGTGGCAAATTTTGGTGGTGGCACATTATATATATTTTTTTTCAATAGGGTTTTTCATTTTTCCTTTAAAACTTTAAGCCATTACTATTATTTGTACGCTAAAGAATCTAATGCTAAGAGTCCTACAAATCTAAAATCATGATTCATAGAATTTTTTTTTCGCACAAAGAAGTGTTGTGAAGGCATTAGATTGCTATAATGAGTTGTTAATAAGAACGTAAAAAATATGATAGAAATTGCATAATGATAGCATAACAAGTAAATTGAAATTAGTTTGGCATGCATAATGGAGTGATGTAGGAAATAATCACAATTGTCCTTATCACCTTCATTGAATGTAGACTATTGAGTTCTACATTTTTAATTGATTCAATATATTTTTCCTCATGTTCGACCCATATATATAATGGGTCATGAGCCATGTCATGTGTATTGACCACCACATTATTTTGATGCTGCCATTTTATCTCTCTTACTAAGCATGGCCAATTAACCCCTTCCTCTATCTCTTTTTGTCTCCATTAAATCCAAACTCATTCATGAAGCCATAGAGTAAATCTTTCTTCAGCATCTTTTTCCTTCGAAACACTTGGAAGCCTTTTGGAAACCATTAGAAACCCTCGAATCTCCACAAAACCTCAGCTCTCGCCTCTTTCCCCATGCTTGGTCACTGCCTCCCTTCTAGGTTTACTTGCCACTTCTTTGCATATTATCTGTCTTATGATTTGTACTTTAACGATCTTATGAATGAAAACTTGCTTATTTAAGTATAAAACTATTCGTACTTTCTTAGTGATCTCTCTCTCAAGTGGACTTCTCGAGTGTGAGAGTAAAAACCTTTTGAGAAGGGCTTCCGGGGAATAGAAAAGACCTATATAACAAAAGAATACTTGTGGAAGTTGATTTTAAGTTATCCTCCACTCTACCTATAAATTATTAATTACCCTAGGATTATTTTCTAGTTTAATATTTTTATTTTATTTTACATCGTAAGCCTAGCCTATAGATCTGATTAAGGCTAAAATCTATTATTGCTAGTGCCCAACTTAACATTGTTAATTATGTAGATTTGTTCTAGCAATCAACTAAATATTATCTTTGATAAATTCTTGAGGTGTGCTTTTTTCGATGCCTCATTGACTATCAACTAAATATATTATCACCCACATCTTTGATAAATTTTTGAGTTATGCAATCTTGAGTTATGCAATTGTGTTGCATTAAAATCGAAACAAAGTAACAATTCTTCTTAAAAACACTTATTGTGTTTTAAATTTCTTTCCATTTTATATGTCATCTTATTGCTTAAATTTTTAAGATTATCAAACATGATATTACTTGAAATGGTGTGGGTGATCCTAGTAGATGTTAAATCTCTCCAATTTTTTTCAATTTAATGGAAACTCATTTATTGCCAAAAAAAATTCCACTAATTTTCTTAATTTTGACATATTTCTTGCAATTTTCAATCTCCATTTGTTGGTCATATCTATCATTTTGCATCCCAATATTCATTTTTTTATCTCAATATTCATTTATGCATTTAATTTTTATTAGATTTATATCCTATATAAAATTTCAAAATTAGTTTTTCAACGTAACAAAAACTATTTTTAATTCAAAATTAGTTTTTCAAAATTTTAAAATATTTCATGAACTAAAGCACAAAATTTTTAATTAGCACAACAAAAAATATTAAAACTCATTTTTTAATAGTGGCAGCTCGTAGTATAATCATTACCAATATCAAACTCAGGATTATATACTTAAGGATCTGATCCTTCATACACAAGAACAAAGATATCAACACTTTTACCAAAACATATATAAAAAAAATCCTAGCTTGCTTAGGCGCACTTGAACATAGAGTAGGTAGAATCTCACACTCTATCCCAATCGGTTTAAGAGGTTCATCTTAAGAATAATGATGGGAATTCACCTTCTAATCCCATTCCAAATCCTATTCAATCGTCTACCTTGACTAGACCACATCACCATCAACCATTCTCAATAAATCAACATTATGATTTTTTTGAGATAAATAAGTCACCATATTGTGTACTTTGATGTACATATGAGGAGGCCACTATGAAGACACAATGGCTATGCATCATGAATACCTCATGAATGTTACCCTCACCTCTATAAGGAACCATTATACGGTCTGGTTCACCAGTACGCCAACTCGATGGATATGCATCAAAACCTAAATAATTATACTACTTGAAATATCCAAATTAATCTTCCTGGACTAGCTCACTAACATGAAACAGTACTTTGATTGGGTGTCCATGTCTGGAGAGAATCAACTCAGATTTGCTCACATGGAATTAGTTGGTTAAACAAGATATATTAAGGCAATCTCAAGCTACAAAACTTGAGGCTAGGATAACCACCCACTAATGAAGGAGAATTATCTTCCTTTAGCCTTTCTGAGCTAAACTCCTAGGTGAATTAACTAGCCTTTTCCAAGGACCTTAAATTTTTATTGGTTCACTTTGGTGGGTTATGATTCGTTCTAATATCACTATGGACCCTCAGAGCACATCCTTAAAATTTTGATAGGGTTTATGATCTAATACTTGATAATAAATGTTAACTTAGAAAATTTACACTATTAAGGATGCTTTTGATCTTGCTCTTCAGATTGGGCAATATTGGACACCAAAGCCTGCCCAATCATCTTTTACTCCTACGGGATGTATTTATCCTATGGAGAAGGTGTGGTTGGAAGATCTAGTTCCATGCCACCTGGTGTTGCTTTACCTATAACAAGATTAGCCATTATGCGAGTACATGTCCCTATTGTAGTTTGCACATAGACTTTAGAGATATAGATCATCCAGCATTACCTAAAAGATAATCAAGCAGAGTTAGAACCATGTGAAGAAGTTAGGGAAGCTGAAGAAGCACTAGATGATTTGCACATTGTGGCATCATGATGTGTATAACCCCGTAATTGATAAAGAATAAAAACACATTATCATTGTCGTACTTATTTTAGAGATGATAAGTTATGTAAGCCGATCATTGCTAGTGCCAATAAAACGAATGTAAATTTTATATCTACACTGGCTAAGATGAAACACATAATAGAACCACAATGTCAGCACTAAAAGATGGCTTGGATTAACAAAACCTCTATTTCTATTTTTGAGCATTAACTTGTTCCCATTCAGTTAGCCAACTATTCTAACATAATTTGATGTCTGCGAATGGACATTACTTTATGATTTAGGCATCACCTATTATGGTCGTTTAATATCTATTCCCTTAAGTTTGACAGCAAATGAATTTTCTTAAATTCTGCCAAATTAAGGATATTACACCCAAACAATTTGCTGATTCACCTTCTCTTGCAGAGTGCAAGAGAAAATAAAATCCCTCCATATTCATCGTTCTACAAGAGTTTGTGAGACGAGTGGAAGATAACCTTTAAGATAAAAGGCATTTCCTTATGTTGTTAGTAATGTCGTCCGGCTTATCCAATGATCCTAACTTCTTTATGTGAGTGATTGAGTGGTCTTGTCTAAAGAAAATCAACACAGATTTGCTCACATGGAATTTGTTGGTTAAACCAAGATATATTAAAATAATCTTAAATTCCAAAACTTATGATTAAGATAAACACTCATTAACACATAAGATGAGATGATAGAGGCTCTAAAATGAAAATATCTTTAGCTTTTCTCAGCTAAACTCGAAGGTGAATAAAGTAGCCTTCTCCAAAAATCCCAATCAATTATTGGTTATATAAATGCTTCGATGGGCTTGTGATTCGTTATAATATCACTATGGACTCTCAAATCACAATTTTGAGATTTCAATAAGGTTTATACTTGAAAATAAATGCTAACTTTAAAGGTTTACATTCGTAAGTATGCCTTTGATCTTGCTCTTAATATTGAGCAATATTTGATTCCAAAGCCTGCCTCGTCAAACATCTTTTACTCCTAATGGATGTTATTATCATAAGAAAAAAATGTGGTTGAAAGATCCAATTTGATGCCTTATGGTCTTACCAAGACTAAGAGTTTGCCCATAGAATTTAGAGGCATAGATCATCCAACACATCTAAAAGATGATCAAGTAGAGTTAGAACCATACCATGAAGCCAAGTAAGTTTAAGAAGTACTAAATGATTTGCATGTCGTGGTCTTTTGATGTGTATTAGCTCGTAAACTGATAAAGATTAGAAACACATTGTCATTTTCATTACCTATTTTAAGATTCAGATAAGTTATATAAACTAATAATTGATAGCGATAACTAAATAAATGTCATTTTTGTATCCATATTGGCCAAGATGAAACTCACAGTAGAACCACATGAACCCCAATAAGATTGCTTTCTGTTAACAAAACCTCTATTTCTATTGCCTTGTTCCGATGTAGTTACCCAACTATTCTAACACAATTTGATGTGAAGTCCTCCCAATTGACATTGTTTTATGATTTGGGCATCACTCATTATAGACATCTCATATCTATTTCTTTAAGTTCGACAGTAAATGTATTTTCTTAACTTCTACCAAGCTTAAGGATAAGGATGTTACATCTCAACAATTTGGTGATTAATCTACACACTTGCAAAGAAAATTAAGTTTCTCCACTCCATTTTTCAAGGTGAAACTAGCTATAGTATTTGGTCAAGTATAAATTTATAATATTTATTGTAGATTACACGATTAAAATGATGTTAGCAACAATTATCATTTTAAAATTTACTTCTAAAGATGATGCTAACAAATCTGTATGAGATAAAGAAATGAGTGGAACATAACCTTTAAAATAAAAGGCATCCTTTATAATCAATTAGTATAGTCATTTGACTTGTCCAATGATCCTAGCACATTTATGGGAGTGAGGACATAAATGTTGCACCCATTTGTTATGAAATTTTGCGTTATACTTTGTTGATATCCTTATATGTAACAATACTAGAAAGGACCATTTACATCATGTACAATAAGTTCTCAAGGTGATTTATTGTTGAAAAAACTTTACATTCATTTGAAGATGTTCTCATTTATGACTAGTTCTATGAACTTCCTCGGCATTTTTGTTTCAAAGGAAGACATCTTTGTTGACCCTGAAAAAGATCAAGTCTACACAAGATTGATGTCTATGAACCTCTTTATTCTTAACGTACAAATCTTAATGAATTGAACATTTTCTATTGAAGCTTCATTCATAGCTTTAGGACCATCATATGGCTTTGATCATTCAATTCTTTAAGCATGAATTTTGTTGGACTTCTAAGACAGCCTCTAAAACCATTTTCAAAATCAAAGAGCTATTGATAAGCTCACTAATATTAAATTTTTCTAGTCTCATCAAGGTGTTTGATGTGTTCTATGGCACCTCTAGAGTATGCATTGTAGGAATTCTTATACATGAGAACTATTAAATTACTTCCTTTGGTGAAAAATATAACAATGCTCAACGACATGACTAATGAATGCTACCCGACATAAGATCTTGAGTTTTAAGCTATAAGTCAAGCACCGCAACACTAATACTATTACAATTTTTTAAGAGCTCTTGATTAACTAAAATAATCGAGTGCTTGAATATTTAAATGCCCAAAAAGAAATAATTCTTAGCATCCTAAATGAGTTCAATCCCTTGAAGAAAATAATACAATTTTTAAACATAAATCCGGTGTTAGAGAAAACAAGTGTTTAATACTTTCAAGCGGTGTTTGGTAGCATACTATTTATAAGATTTAATCATGAATTTAACTTAAATCAAGCTAAACACCGAAAAAAAATAAAAATAAATCCTACTCTCCATTACATCCAATTTTCTTTTGTTCCGTCATTTTTGCGATGTAAATCTGAATCTAGTAAGTACGACTGTAAGACGGATTTATTCAGCTGTCACTGCCAAGCTCTTCCGTTGCAGTTTAGATTTGATAAATCCAGACTTATTGGATTTGATAAATCTTATTTAACGTAAAACTAAATTGCAGCTAAACATTGTCTTAAATAGATCGAGTGTATTATTACATATTATGGTGTTAAAACATTATTGAATTCTAAAAGGCCAAAAAAAAAAATCCGAACAGCAACAATTAATGACACCTATAATTAATTAACTTCATTCACACAATCCTGCTGATTATTATGAAGCTCTAGATAGTCAACATAGTCCCCCCACAGAAATCAACATATTTCCCTTTCCCACGTGCCATGGCACAACATCCGCCCAACACGTGTGAGACTCACGTGCCGTCATCAGCTGCACTTTGTGCGGGCAATTCTCAACTACGGCAGGTCCCACCACGCACCTGACTCGCCAGAGACAGAAACGTCCTGTTCCGTTTTTTTTTTCATGGGTCAAATGCCGGCAGAAATAAAAGGCTTAACGGCGTCACCAAACGCGACGTGTCTTACGAGGATACAGCGTCTACACAATCCGCCCAAATAATTCTGCTTCTTAATGAGGTGGTAGCTTAAACCCTAAGCCGCCTACCCCAGGGTTTTAAAAAATGTCATACGGGGCCCAGTGTTGATATTAATATAAATTAAAATGATAATACTTAGTTATATTGAATTCAAATAAGCTCCTAAGTCAATTCTTTCAGGGGGCATTCACACACATACCACCCAAATTTTTAATATTCACACATCAATGCCTAAACTTAATTTTTATATTTATATCCCCTAAATCTTTCACATCACAAAAAATTTTACTATTTTAATTTTAAAACTAAAATACTCTTTTTTAATACAGATAAGTTAAAATTTATATATTTATATATGCAAAAATTGAAATTTAATTATTAGATATGTAAGTGCATAAGAATTGAGTGGCATGAATGTAAAAAAATAATTTGATTATCATAAAAACAACAAGGGATCATTCAGCATAAAAAAGGAGATATGAATATTAATATATTTTAAATTTAATTAATATTATCATATTTTAAATGATTTGACTTGAATCTAATAAGTTTGAGTTGGCACTATCTTAACCATATTTGATAATGGAGCTTGACTTTCAAGCCATTTGTTGAACCGACTCCAAAACCGGCTAATAAATTATCTAGAGTAACTCTTAAGTTACAATTAATATATGGGGCAATGATACGAAAAAATTTGTTTTCGGAGTCTGAACGTAAAGCTACATCCGGACAACAGATATGATACACCGGACAGAGCAGAAGAGCAAAAAAAAAAAAAAAACAGCCCCCGGCATATCGTGTCCGGACAACGCAGCTTACGTCCAAACTCTGGACGCAATATTTTTTTCAATTATACACATGAATTAAGACCAACAATCTTGGTTCCTTATAAAACTAAAGGGTGACTAATTATACGCATTTCTTTTTGTTTAATTCTCATTCAAAGATCCAAATTCATGATAAAATTTTAATCTGTAATATCACTTGTTAAATTCTCAAAGGTGATTCTATAATGACAAAAGTATAGTTTTAAATAAGAAGTTACCTTGCCATCATATTCCCGGCGGGATAAAATCTCCGGCGCGATGTATGCCGGTGTGCCCACCGCCGACTTCGGCCTCGAATGCAGCACTGATGACTAGCAAGATTAAAAGATCGCTTCAGCTGGGTGTCTTTCCTTTATTTATCTTTTTTTGTGTTTTTTAACAGAAGAATCAGGAAGAATTAAACCTTGGAATAGCCGAAATCGCAGATCTTAAGTCGCGGAGCTGGGCTTCCATCTAGGAGGGTGTTCTCCAGCTTTAAATCTCGATGGCATATTTGCTGGAACAAATTAGAAAAAAGAAAGACTAATTAACATAAGTTTTGTGGAACGATTGAGAATTTTTTCTTCTTGATAAGAAAAAATTAAGAACGATTGAATTAATTACCATTTGATGGCAGTAGCTAACACCAGAGATGAGTTGCTGGAAGAAGTATCTCGCCTATAATTGAATTTACCAATTACCTTAACTACATTGGTGGCTTTACTTGTTCGAATTAAAAAACAGAAAAGAAACAGGGAACGAATTAGTAAGGAAATTGAGACCTCGTCTTCGCTGAATCTACCGGCGTTACAGATCCGCTCGAAAAGCTCGCCACCGGCGGCGTACTCCATTACGATCGCGAGATGGGTCGGCGTCAGAACCACCTGAAAGCCCTAAGTTTCAGAAAACGACAAAATAAGTAATTAAATTTGTATGAATCGGCGAATTCCTACCTCCTTGAATCGGACAATATTAGGGTGGCGGAGCGAGCGGTGATTAATAATCTCCCTCGCCACATTCTCATCGATCTGCCGCCATTAAACCGAATCAACAATCGGAAAACAAATAAATCAATAGCCGTATAACAACAAAAGGATTCGGATCGGACCTTATGCCCTCTTTCGATATGTTTGACAGCGACGAGCTCCTTTGTCTCCTTGTTCCGCATAAGCATGGCGACCCCAAAGTTCCCGGATCCGATATCGCGCACCATCTCGTACTTCTCCATCTCATTCGATCCTCGGTTTCGCTTCCCTTCTGATGGGTTCTGCTAACAAGATGAGGATTTCGGGATTCTTCTCTGGTTTCTACTCAAAGTTCTTTTTGCTAGTATAATGGATAGAGTTAGGTGAAATAGAACGGGGATGGTGAAGTTCGCAGGAATTCATGTCTGCGGAGGCCGCCGAGGGCGCCGTAAGATGGGTTTTCTTCTCTTTGAGTGTTCTCTGTTAGATGCCTTTCGCTCCAACTGAGCGTTCTGATTTTCCGATTCCGACGCGGCGGGCTACGACTTCGACTGAGAGCTTATATAATAGCGGAGATAAGAATACTATAAATATTATAAATAATAATATAAATGTATTTATTTGTTTTATTGAGATTATAGACTTCCCCTATAAAGTACAAAAACTGTTGATAAATAAATACATATAT